TTAAAGCTGAGTGCCAGCAAATGCTCACATGCTACTTTGAAAGCATTTTTTTTGTGCACCTGGCATCCCAGCTCAAACCCTCCTAACAAAGAGGAGAAAAAATACTGAAGGCAGCACAAATATAGGAGGTGTTCCTCTGCTGTCAGCCAGCAGCTACAGATTCACTTTTTTGTGATATGATCATACTACTTTTACTTTCTTTTTTTTTGCTATGCCTGTTCAGTATGTTGAGTTCAGTAGATTTTTACAGGAAAAATACAGGTTAGTGACTGTCATTCACAGCTTCTTTCATTTGAGACCACTTGTTTTATTCAGTGGAATACGGCAATCATAGCTATACATAATTTCTACAGAAAATGGTGCTTTATTTCTTGCTTGAAAAATGGTCGGCTTACCTTAGAGTTATCTACTGTATTTATCTTAGGCAGTGACAGAGACAGTTGCTTTGCTATTACATGGCCCTTTATAATGGCTGATACTGGGTTATTTATGGTAGAGATTTTAATAAAGGATTATACAATTTAAAGAAAAAAATTTATAGACTTCAGTAGATCCTACTAATATACTTTAAAGTCTTTGCCCTTTTGTATTCTTTCTGATAAATTCTTACAGATTCTTGGAAAGAATAGCTCCTTAATCACTAGTAATGCACTTCAAATAGTCCTATCATTTGAAATAATTGTTCTTAAAAACATAATTTCTGTTGCCCCAATATCCTACCTGAGCTTATTTATAATGCATTCTCCACATTCCACTGACAAAAGCAAGTGCTTATACTATCCATAGACCCGAAACCCGAAGGCAGGCTTTGTTCAGATGAGAGCCATACATCAACAATGCAGAGTGGTGACTGAGTTCCAGGTTTAGAATGTGTTATCTTAGTGAGTGTGTCAGCTGGGCCGCTTGGTAGAATCACAGAATTGTTTAGGTTGGAAAACACCTTTGAGCCCAACCCTATACCGGCACTGCCAAGCCTACCACTAAACCTCATCGCTAAGCACCACATCTTCATGGCTCTGAAATACCTCCAGGGTTGCTGGCTCCACCACTGGCCTGATCATCCTGTTCCAGTGCCTCGCTGGCAACAGTTCCAGTGGACAAATTTTTCCTAATAAATTTTACTGACTGTGTCCAAAGAACAGCTATGCTGATGAACAGTCTTTAGGTATGTGCCCTTGGTGCTCTGAAAGGTGTCTCTGTGTATGGTAGTCTCTCATTTGTCCATTTAGATGGTTTTGCTTCATCTTTAAAAATCTCAAATCTCTATATTTCTCCTCTCTTCGTTCTTCTTGGTTTCCTCCAGGGTTCTCACCTCAGATCAGCATAATGGACTAGTTCTAAATCAGTGCATTCCTTCCACTCTTTCTACTCCACCAAAAGATACTCCTGAGCTGAAAATCCAGATTAATGTTCTTAAGATAAAACTGAGGATAATTTTACTTTGTTGTCTCTCTCTCTACTTTCAAACATATTTCAGCTAAAAGCTGCAAACCCAGATGCTATGAATTAAACTCCTAACACTGTTTACATCTCTAACAATTTTGCTCTTCACCCCAAAAGCACTGTAGTTTGCTGGGAACCCAGCTTTTCCCCCTCAGAGTGCAAGACTTCTCAAGGTAATGACTTTGGGCTGTTTCTTAAGCATGTTTTGTACATGCAGTAAAATCTGTTGGGACCTTGCCTGTGTTGAGATTGTAAGATCTGCTCAGTTACGAATTCATCCCTTGCAGTACAAAGCCCTGTGTGCTGGAGTCAGTCTGTAAATGTGCCTCCTCTGCAGCACTGTGGATTAGAACTGCAAAGCACACAAGTTGCATTTAAGAACAATTTGCAGGGATCATAATGTCTGCATGCATAAAGCTGGTGCACTGTTTGTCTGTTCATAGGAAGTTTTTAAGGGCTGGATGTTTGTTTAAGCTCTGCACTGAATCCCTGAGCAAAAATTACTGGAGTTGCAGTAAAGATTTTGTAGACCTTCACACGTGTCTTCCTCTTTAAACCCTTCTAAAGATTATTTAAACCATTTTTAATATCTCCTTGTTTCACAAGAGTTTCACATCTGATCAAGTCTTCTTAACTCCTTGTTCTGCAAGGAGAGGTGTAAGTTTGTTTGTTTAAGCCCCAGTTAAAGGAACTTGTGTCTTTAAATGCTGTACAGCAAGCCTGGAAGAGCTCCATGGAGGGGAAAGCACAGCTGTTCCATCATGGTCCGTCATGGTTTCTATGTGTCCCATAGGCAATATCCTTCTTAAACTCATCTTATAAAATTACCCAATTCCTTATGCTTGTGTGTCTTTAGACTCAGAGTAGAAGGTGGGTCTTTGGAGTATTTTTTTCCCTACTTTTCCCCTTCACCCAGCCTGCATCCTACAGGTCTGTCATGGTGTGTGCTGGTCTCTTCTCATCCTTCATAACTGTAAATGTCTGTCCCGTTTCCCTGCAACCTCTACCATCCAGCTGTATTTTCAATCAAAACTTTAACAGTAAAACACAAATTCCTGAAGAAGTTGTTGACTAGCCTCTGACTCCCGATAGTTAATTTTTCTTTGGGGTTAGACCCTGCAAAGCACTGAATAGCCATCAAAGGCATGTTGTAACTCAGTCTTCTGCCTAACGTGACCTCCTCCTTCTAAAGGAATAAAAAAACCCCACTAACATTCTATGACGTTAATGAGAATTTTCCCCCCTGCAAACATACTGTAACTGTGAAATAACATTAAAGTTTCTCTGCCTTGTTATGAAGTCTTTAAATGTCAATGCCATTTCTGAGACCATCAGGGCAGACTTAATGGCGACCAGGGTCAACAAATGCTAACTGGTACCTCTCTTTTAGGGCCTTCAGGGACTCTTAATAGAGTCTCAGCCATGAAGTTAATTTGTGATGTGGACCTTTATTCTTAGACCTGATGATTATTTTGTAACATCTTCATTCGTGTGCTTAGATTTCTTAACATCCTCCTGTCTATTCAGTCAATAAACTGCTAAAATAAAGACATTTTCAGACATTCCATTTGTTGAGTTACCTTTTTTTTTCCTTGTTCCTTTTAACTTCTGATTATGGGCTGCAGAAGGGTAGTGTGTGCTTTCAGTAGACCACCCCGATAGGATCCTCTGGCATCTTCAGGTCTGAAATCTGCTGCTGTCCTAGGGGACTAGGAAGCTGTCCACCATGAAAGCCTCTTCCCATAGGTGTCCTAAATCCTTTGTTGTCAGAAACAGGTGAAGTGGGAAATGAGAGACTCTGTAACTACAGGATTTTTTAACTTTCTCTTTTCTGTAATATTTCTTTCTGTTGTTGGTCATCCCTATCTGTATTGTCTAATTTAGATTAAAAGGGCTCTGTAGCCTTTATTTGCCTAGAAAATATTGCAGACAGGGATGGCATGCTACAAATAATAAATAACAAAACTCCATCTTTTTGGTGGCATGTTGCATTTCTGCTCAGTTGCCCTGCCAGCCCCTCTGACTTTAAAATATTTTAGTGTCCTGCACTTTTCACCCAGTCCAAGCACCAGACTCCCCTCAGACATTTAGCACTGACATTAATGCAAATGCCTCCAACTCACTGGGCCCTTTGGGGCAAAACATGACATCCTTGGCTTTCAATCACATGGCAGAGAGGATATATTTGTATGCACAAAACTGGAAATAATAAAATATCAGTATTCAGGTGCTAATCCGCATTAATTTGCATTCTGTGAAGTCTACAAGAAACTTGTAATTGGTTGTCTTGAAGGGCAGCTGAGTATATTTGGTATTTTGTTTATTTATTAAAAAAGAATTTAAATTATACATACAAATGCTGGACAGATTTGTATTATATCTCTCTTCTAATCAGTGCTGGACCCTTGCTTGCATTCCTAAATTCTAGTGTTTTCGGTCTGATTGACTGTCTTGCACTCTGTGTGCATAATACATATCTATTGTAAGCATTGCCAGCGTGCAAATAATACCTGCCTTTCCATCAGTGGATTCCAAATTGCCCTGCTAAACCACTTATACTGCAGTGATTTTGCTATCCTTAACAAACCTGGCTTCTGTAATTAAAAAGAAAAAAAAAAACCACACAACAAGATCTTTGTGAAAGGTCCCAAAGGCTGGAGGAGTTTAAATTCAGTTCATTATTGAAATTAATGCACAGGTCTAGCAAAAGAAATGTGGGTGCCTGATACACTGCTGTTCTGATGTGCATGAAATCTCGAATGCTTAGCTGCCTAGCTGAACCTCAGTGCAAAGATACTCCAGGATGTAAGTAGGATTGTGATGTCTGTTACATAATATCCACGAGTATAACAAAACCACTGGAATTTGCTTGCACTGGGTTGACAAATGTGAATTACAGTTGCTTGCTTTCTTCAGAGTTTTATCAGACTATAATCACTTGCCCAGCTTAATTGAAAAATCACTTACGTTTATAGCTGTATTTAAACATGTTTTGTATTTAAATGACAGCTTTTGATGTACAACCATTTTTTACAGAAAGTAGTTGGTTTTTATCTGTGTTTCTGTAAAGATATTTCAAAAACTCTCATCAAATTTCCAGCGGTAAGTAATATCCCATTCAGTGCAAGGTGAAATGTTTTACATCAAATCTCCTGCTGTGTAATGGCCAATCAAAGACTATTTATAGTGGCTGAATGGATTTTTTGGCTCAGTATTCAAAATTAAACATTTTCAAACCTTAACATTTAATGTTTTTTGCCACTCTTCAAGTTGATTTTATGTAACCCTAGATGCTCACAACTACTTGATACTCTGAAGTGACTCATTTTATGCTGAGGATCCTGCAGGCAGTAGTTTTACATTTATTACACTTGTGTAGATGGAATGAAATGTAGATTTGATAGCAGATCCGTGTCTGTCTTCTGGTAAACATTTTGTTGGGTTTGGCTGTATGTCCATCAGTGTGGAGTCTGTTTCTCAGAGAACATATTTATCAAGGGAAATCACTGAGCAAAGATAAATTGGTAATTTACAGGAAATTGTTTCTCTTACTGCAGGTATCCAGTAAGAAGATTTCGTGCAAGCAGCCATCTCTTGAGCTAGATGGTTCCTTCCTGGATGTTGGGGGACATTGGACTCTTCATAAGAACTGCAGAGCACCAAAGGCTGGAAGCCCGACCCGTGTTGCATTGTCTCAGCCTTGCAGGAATAACCCCCGTTACAGGACTGAAATCCATTGCAACCATCAGGAGTGTCTGAAGGAATATCTGATGGAAAATGACTTGCACAGAAAGTGTAACAACACTGTGATTTCCCCAGCCAAGCAGAGGAGCCCTCACCATGTAAAACAAGCTCAGGAGATGGACCAGAAGGCAAATGAGTTTCAGAGCACGTGCCCTCAGCAAGTGAGTCATGGTTGTGCCTGCAGGCATGTAGGGAGCTCAGGGAACATGGAAGAGAACCTCTGTGTCAACCAGGTACTTAGAAAACACTCTGGGCCAGTACACAAAACCTGTGATCATTCCAGGCACTCTCGAGGTTTTGGGCAGAATCACAGCGCGGACTCAGGGCCTAAGGAAACAGAGCTGGCTAAAAGACTGCATGAAGAAAGAAGGCAGAGGCTGCTTCTGCAAAAAATGGAGCTGGAAATTGAAAAGGAACGACTCCAACATTTATTGACTCAACAAGAAGCAAAACTGCTCCTAAAACAGCAGCAACTACACCAATCCCGTATGGATTATAACAGGTGACTTTGAGACTTATAATTAAACTTCAAAAAAAATCTAAAATTTCTAATGAACACATGGGCAATAGTTGATTAAAGTGGGAGAATGGAACTGATAAAACAAGATAGGCAAAACTTGTGGCACAAATTCTTACAGTGATTTATAGGAGAGAAGACTTTTTAGTATGTTAGTATATACTGTTGGGAAACAGCATGACAGCTGTGAAAAGCAGCAGAGGAAAACAGTAGGTGGTAGAAAGAAAGGCACAAGACAAGCACTGCTAAAAGACTAGGTAGGAAAAGGGAAGCAGTAGAAGAAAATGAGACGTTGATCTTAGTGCAGGCACTTGAAGGAATACAGACATTTGCCAAGAGAGCAGCGTGAGCTCGGATGGCATAGATTCATTCCCTCTTCTTTCCTTAGAGAGGTCAGTTTTGAAGTGTTGCACCTTCCTAGGTAGAGACTGGAAGGAATGTGTTTTACAGAGGAGATAGAGATCATTATATATGTGTGTGTGTGTATATATATATATATACACATACACATACACACACACACATATATAATATATATATATGGAATATATATTTTTTCCCCATGTATTTACAAAAAAGGAAGGGTGCTCTATGTAGCACGGACATTTTCTTTCCAGTGGTGGTTGTGAAAAGGAGAATGCTGAGACTGAGGCATGATACATGCTTAAAACTAGAAGAAGAAAAAGGCAGCAACCATAGAAATACATGATGGGGCTCGAAAGGCCTGTGAGCTTGTTGCAAAAGGTTAGGTAACACGTTTCTGATGATGGAAATAAGTCTCTGAGAAAGGGGACAATGGGAACAGGTTAAAGCAAGTTAAATTAGCCAGTATAACTTAGCTGAGTACTAGCTTTCAGCATTAGAAAGGGAAAACAATAGGAGGGAATCTAGCAGTCTTTTAGGAGAGGCAGTAGGAGTGTTTCATGAGGATGCATATTTCTATACAGTTCTAGTATGGCAACTGCTGACAGCATCCCTTGAGAGTCTGCCTTACGTGACCCACTTCCTACATTCATGTATTATAACCACCATGGAGGAATATATATCACCTTCTCTTCTTAATTCCAGCCCCTGGATACTTTTCAAACTGTAAAAGAGAATTCTGTAATCTAGATGGTCTTTTGTTTGCCTTCTTGGATTGTTGTTTACATTGAAAATAATGTGTTTATATGGCTTTAAAAGTACCAGTCTTCAAGGCAATCACAATTGTGTGTGTTGAAAATGACTGAGGTCACTAACAAAGGATTATGACTTCAGGTGAGAATTAAGTAGGAACAGATGGATTCTTAATCATCAAATACCTTAATTCTGTGCATGCATCCCTCTAATGAAAAACAAGTAGATATGAAGGACACACAAACTTTTGGAGTTTGTTGTGAGTTTTTTTGTGGTTTTGTTTTTGCTTTTGTGGGTTTTTTTTCCAGTGGGAATTTTTCAGCATTCAAGTCATCATAAGTTCAGAAAAAAAAGACCTTAAATATCTACAATGATGTGCTTGTTATATCTATTTTAGCTATTTTTTTTTCTGAAAAAACCTGTAAACCCTTGTGTTGTACAGAGCTCTAGTTACCTAAAGAGAATTCCATGAATTAAAATCATATATGATCAATCTGAGGACTCAGTATTTTTATGATCTCTTTTCAGAGGTGCACTTGAAGGCAGATATGCCATATTCTCTCTAAGAAAACAACTAGAATATAGTGTGCTTTCTCTTGAAAATGTTTCAGTATCTTTAGAATTGAATATTTGATATTTACAGGTCAGTTCTGTTTCAGTTTCAGGTATATAATTCACTTTTGCACTTGGTAACAGGGTGGTTTTCTATACTACTAACAGTAAAAATCAGTTAAGCTAAGCTCAAATACCCTTTGCTTCATTGTCAGGAGGTTCTAACCTAGTTAGGACATCATGACAGTTTAAAAAAATACAGTACAACAAAAATCCTTTTCCATGTAGTTTTTATTTTTGTCTGTCCTTCTGCCTGGGCAGAGTGCTGGTTAAAGTCCATTCCAAGCTACTGAAAGTATTGTCATTGAATGACAAATAAAAGGTCTGACCATTTGTAATTACTGGCTATTAACTTTTCTGATCTTTTAGCTAAAGTATGAGTTGATCCTATTTTTTTTGCCATGCTACATCATAACTGCAATCTAATTGTTCACATTTCCCTATTTAACCTCAAGTGAACATAGTACTTTCAGTTTGCAGTTTCTGTCTATGTGAAATAGTTGCTCAGCAGTCAAAAGTGGCGTGTGTGCAGGCAAAGGGGTAGTTAAGTGACCCCTCCTGATCCAGCCTCACTGGAGTAGACCAGTAAGGTCAAAGCCCGGAAACTGGAATTTTATTCAAGTAAAAAAGTAGTACCTCTATCTTGGCTTTTCTGTCTTCATTAGAGAGAAAGAGTGAAGTGATCTATTAAAAATGTCGCATCATCTATGGGCCCATAGTTTGAGGACACACAACCATCTGAAACAAATTCTACATTTTATGCAGCTTAGGCAGTGCCTTTGAGCTCTGGTGCTGAACTGCAATCTGAGCCCAATAGGGATGTTTGTTATTTGATACTGTGACCCTTTCCTTGAGGGAGCTAGTCCTTGGAAATCAGTAAATGAAACTTTTCTATCTGTTTCCCAGTGGTAACCCTGGAAGCAAAGGCACTGGACGCAAGTCAGCCTTTCGATACAAAAGTATATTTGGAAGTGTGAAAACAATTGTGAAAGCATCTGCATTTAATGTGTTTAAGCAGCCTGATCATAGGCACATAGGTCACCTTTTTATGGCAAGTTCCTGGCATGATATTTGACCAGCTGCAGAACCAACTAACTCATCTTTTTCAGGATTAGAGGCCACGTCCCTGGCTCAGAGGATGTGCCCATCGCTGAAGCGCCCGGAGAACTTGCTCTGATGATGAACGGCAACAGCATGGGGCTGAGGTAATTTCTCTCTTCACTTCTAAGTGCTTCACAGGGTCGGTATATCTTCTTGACAGTGTGCTGTTGCCTGCCAAGTGTATTTGTTCATGTGTTTGTTTCAGATTAAGAGCTTTTTTCTGCAGGAAAGGTAAAATTCATTGACTGCTGTGTTTTATGAGTCAACTCAATAGTTATGGTGACCAGTTATTACTCAAGGTTTAGGGGCTGACTTCCTGAAGAGGTCTCAGGTTTTGTGTGTCACCTCTTAGCCCAGTGCAAAATGGAATTTTCTCAAAATCTTAGCTTTTTCTTTGTTCTCGGTGCTGCTTGTAATTTTTTTAATTAAAATCAGGACATTTTTTAGCCTGGATTTGGACCTGATGTAAATAATACATTATTCTTTAACTCTCAGATATTTTACAGTTGGTGACAGATACTTGTTTTGTAAATGTTGCTGTGTTGCAACTCTGCTTTGGTGAGATCAGAGCAAACTACCACTGACATAACTGGAAGTAGAGTTAAGCCAATATTTAGCTCATAATCTCCATCTTGCTTGCTATTTAAAACTTCAATCAATACAGTATTGTACTTTCTTTCTGTCCTACCCTTCCACATTTCCTGTTAACACTGGAAGAAGATTTGGGCGTATTAGAAAAGCAACAAATAAAAGCTGTGGATTTGGCAGGGTTTTTCTCCATTTTCTCAGAAAGTAACAGCTTCTTGTTCTATGCTGTAACTATAGGTACCCTTTTGAACAAAGAATTACCTCTTTGGTGGACAAGACTAGCAGCTGTGGTTTGAATGTCCCCTTTTTTAAGTGATGAGAGAATACCTTAAAATAATAAACTTTCTACTCTGTTATGCGAATACTTAGAGGAACAGATGGATAGTTTATTTATGAACTAAGGGTCCAATACTTTCTTTTTTCTTCTTTTTTTTAACTTTTTTACACTAATTTTATTTTATGAGATCTTCTTCACTGAAAAGATATAAGGCCTTTTTCTCCAAAACAACAGGAGTTTGTAGTTTCCTTGGAATAATACTTCACTGCTTACCCAGGTGTTTGGTTGCTGTGAGTTATTGTCATATCCTCCTTGTATTATTTTTTCCTTCATTTTCAGAGTGTTATCACTGTAACAAAAAATCTGGAGAATCATGACATGTTTAAGATGCAGTAGCATTAAGCCCCTTGGAGGAAAAAATGTAACCTAGAACATCTGTAGGGCTTCTGGCAACAGTTTACCAAAAATCTGCAAATGTCTGCATAGCCTAACAGGGAAAATTTACGCTGTTAACAAAATGAGAGTTCCAGGTTTCAAAAGGTTCCCTACCCTCTCTTCATTCCCCTGGTTTAATTTACTGTAATTTTTCAAAGTTAATGTCTGTTCGAGCAGTCTCAAGTTGCCTTGCCAGCTGGTTGCAAAGTTTGGCAGCAAAACACTTGGAAGTTTTTCTTCCTATATGCCATCTTCAGTTTCGCAAAGGTTACCAGATGAATGGTCCCTAAATAATTTACTCTAATGTAAGGCTTAAAGAGGCTGCAGAAGACAAGTCCATTTGTCTCTTTTATGCATTTGAATATGTAAGTGATGTTTTCTTCAGTGTAGACTCTGCAAGTGTGTGGCTAGAGCTTAGAAAGGAGGAAGAGCTGGTAGGCATAAATCTTTTTTTTAACTGTCTCTCTCTCTCTTTTTTTTATTTTTTTTTTATTTTGTTGGTGCCGTTATTTGTTTTTTAATTGACCTGTCAAACAGTTCTTGTTACGGCAAATGCTAGCAGAACGCTAATGGAAAATCAGCCCTCTCTGACTTCCAGTTCATACACGAGAGCTCCTCTAGCAAATCTCACAGCATGAGACTTGATTTCAGTCTTCAAATAAGCAAAAAAACTTAGCTTAAAAATATCTTGGTATTTTAAAGGAAATGGTGAAATTCCTTTAAAATACTAAACTTGATGAAGTGAGATGTTGGAGTTTAGAAGTAAAATAAATAATATAATCAAGAACTGAAAAACATTGTTGTTTTTTTATATAATTAACAGCTCATTTTGAGTTAATTATCTACAATTACAAAAATCTAATTGCAATTTATCCTCTACTATCTGTGGGAAGAATTGTAGGCAAGGGAATGTGCATCACTACCAGGCATAAATGCTATAGGATGGGTGCAAATAATAGAGAAACCCTTAATGAAAAAAAAAGCAAATAGGAGTGTGCAGCTGTGCCAGGCTATTGAAAGGTAATTGTAGCCAGAAATGAGATACGTAGTTTAAAAGGCATCTTGTCATCTCCTGTAGGGAATAATTTTTTCCCTCATTGAAGAAAGGAAAAAAGAGTTCACAAGCAAATACAGTAGAGTTTGATTTCTGATACAGGCTTTCCTTATAGTCTGTCAGTGAAAATGAAAACTTTTGTCTCAGGGGCTACTACAGACAAATTTTCAGATGGATGCCTGTTTCCTACTACTAAGGTCTTTTTGTTGTCATAGTCAGCAGGCACTGTTCATCTCAGCCTATTTGGACATCTATTCTGGTATGAATTTGCAGTGTTGAATTTGTCACTTCCCTGATGGGTCTGTTGAGAAGAAATGTGACTGTACCTTTGCCTGCTTGCAGCTGGGCCAGTGTGCGGGGCCCGAAGCATCTTCAGAAGCAGGATCTCCAGTTCTCTAAGGTGCAGCAGTCAGAGCAGGTTTTATTGAGTACAGTTTTCAGTAGCTTGGAGTGCTCCTGTGTGAGCCCACAGCCAATTTTCAGCTATGGAGATAGTAGCTTGTGCAATTAATGGCAAGTTGTCTGTATAATTTCTTTTCAAGTCTGCCCCAGTGTGCGAGATGCTTTAAAATATTCAAAATAAAAACATAACCTGATGCATTTGTTTAGCATAAACCAGCCTTTTACAAAGCACTTTCCATCTCCCAGACGCAGATGCTTGGTACATGCTCAAGTACCCACTCCATGCTTATTCAGTAGGATCAATACACCCGGCACCTGCTTTTGTGTGTGCTCCTGACATCTGCATCTGGGAAAGGAATTCTAAAACTCTTCTCCCGTTATTTAATCTTAACTTTGGATCTGAATGGCATGGAAATAAAACCTTTTTAACGGCACCAACTAAAGAAGACACGGTTTTCTACTTTGCAAACACCGCTCCCCAGAGCTCTGCTGTGTGCCTGAATCTTAGCATACAAGACAACCTGGTTTTTTTGAGTCTTGGGTTTCCTATACAGCTCTGCCAGTGTGGCTTTTTACTGCCTTCTCTCTAACGCACATCTTTGCCTCAGATTGCACACGATTCTGCCACTAAGCCTCTACACAGACCTGTGCAAAGTGTTATAAATAGGAATTGTTGGATACAGCAGCTCTTGAATGTGTTTACAGCTATCTGTAGGCATTCTTTCAATGTGTGCTACCTGGTGAAAGGATTTCTTTCCTGGTGCATTAAAGATTTGCAGGTGGAATTTGCCACCTTTAATTTCATTGAAGGCTCTTTATGTTTATGTGCTTCATTCTATATCACCCGTGTGTGTTTTTTTCCAGTTTGTATTTTTAGTTAGTTGAAAATATCAGAGACAGAATTCAGCACTACTTCCCCTCTACTTGGATGCTCATTGCTATGGTGATAGTTCCAGGAGGGAATGCTGTCAGGGGTCTTTCAAAAGATTTTTATGTTTATGGTGTAACTATTTTTATTATCTAGTAAGAGAAGGTGACAATTATCTGTTGCTCCTTGTTTAATGCTTTGTTATGAACTGTCCTTTTTTCTGAGGCTTGTTAGACATGCAGGCATCTTTCTGTGGTGATGTGCAAGCACACTTACATGCTTTTGTTCAAATATTCAATGCAATGAAACAGACCTGCAGAGGAACACAGACTTGCAGCTCCCCCTACTGTCCCAGGCATATCCAGGTTTGTTCACACAATTTCCCCCTCCAACTAATGTAAAAATAAAATGAAAATCACATGCAATCTCATGGCACTACCATCTCTGAACTGACTTGTGCTGGCCCCATTACTCTTGTTTTTGAGAATGGATTTTTAAAAACAATAGCAGCACCCATTTTGTTTCCTGTTAGGAGCTTTCTTGTCAGTTCCTCATTCTGGTGTGTGTCACCTCCTGTTACTCTTGTCCTGAGCCTCTGGAGGAGGAACCATCATCAGAGATGCAACTGGCTTATTGGCCAAGACCTCCCAGGCTCCAGGTCATCTATGAGTTCTCCTTGGTCTCTTGAGGTATGTCTATATAGGTCTTGGACAATTTTTAGGAATACACAGTTTGTTGGAATTTTTTTTCATCTATTTGCTGTTTTGGCAGACTGGCACGTTAAATTGGGATGAAATCAACTGTGCTTGCAAATGGCCCATAAAATCTGTGTATCTGGAAGCTGCTTACCCACTTGTTAGTGCTCCTTTTAACACCCAAGTTACTTTCTTGTTCCAGATAATTTTACATTGAAGTTTGCATCATTTTTAGATTGGATATTTGTGGAGCGAACGCTTGTTTGGCCGATAAAAAAAAAGTACTTGCAGATCTGCCAAAAGTGCACACGCCGAATTAGGTGCAGATATGAGTTTTTCTTTCTTTCATGGTGTTGTCTGGCTATATATAGGCACAGCATCCTTCCAACAGATGGCTGCCGGAGTCTGCTGTGACGTATGGGAGAGTACAGTCAGAGTCAGACACACATTTTTACTTCATTAGTGCCACGTGCAGACTCCGAAGGTAGTAGCTTTTCTTGCCCAGGGTGAAGGCTTTTGTTCTGATGTGGTTACTAAAAGCTTAGTGCTGAATTGGAGGGGGGGATGGCAATTTTTTACTTATATCTATGCATGCACTTAATTGTTATTTTTTTTGTTAAGGTAGGCAGTGATCCTTATCAGACCAGGGAGAGAGGAGTTCATTTCTGCTGACCTGGTTCCTTCGCTAATCTAATTTTCAGGTTTACTTTCAACTGCGACAGTGATTTCAAGCTGCCTGTCTAACATTTACCTGAATTATGCTGATTCTGTTCTCATGATCATGT